TTCCATCTCATTTTCCTTTGGGGTTGCTGTAGGTGATCTGGAAGTCTGGTTTTGAGACTTATTTATGTGTTTTCTCATTTCAACTGGGGTGGGGGATGTTGGCACCTGCACGGATTACCTCCTCTGCGCTGGGAGAGGTGGGACAGGGGCCGGGAGCAGCAGTAGGGATGGTGGCCCAAAGGCCCTTTCCTGTGGGCTGGGAGCAGCAGGATGGATGGTGTCCAGGAAGCCCCTTCCTCTGGTCCAGGAACAGTGGGATGGCGGCTCAGCAGCCCCTACCTCTGGGCCGGGAGCGGTGGGAGGGATGGTGGCCTGGAAGCCCTTCCTCTGGGCCAGGAGCAGCGGGACAGAAGGTGGCCCAAAAGCCCTATCCTCTGGGCTGGGAGCAGCGGGAGGGATGGTGGCTGGGAAGCCCCTTCCTCTGGACCAGGAACAGTGGGACGACAGCTCAGAATCCCCTACCTCTGGGCCGGGAGCAGGGGGACTCGGTTCTGTGGTCTGGTGGTCCAGAGTCCTCTGTGTCTTTGTAGTGTGGAACCAGGTGGCTGTACAGAGGAGTGGGGGTGGGGGTCCAGTGGATTTTTGCTGGGGCGCGGGCTGATTCTGCGTGTTCCACGTGACTCGGGACCTCGGTAGGGCGTGCACAGACCTGCCTGTCTGCAGTGGGCTGATTCAGCATCTTCCGTGAGACTCCCCAGATAAAATTTTCTTTGGGAACCATTTGAACTCAATCAATGGCAAGCCTTAAAATATAAGATACCCTCTTGTCTACCACTCCTTCCCAAAGATCTTCATAATCCCAGTTCTTTGGCTGTTCCAACACAGTCCAACCTTTGACTGACTGACTCCCTCTCATACTAGGCTCAGGAGTCCCTATGCTGGGCTCTTGGACAAGACTGATGTATTCCAGCAGACAGGGAAAGTACTCCCTTCTTGACTATACATGGCCAAATTCCACAGAAGGTTTCAGGTTATGGAATCAGTTTCCCTCACCTTACTTCTGAGCTATATTCCTCCTCAGTCACAACTTCTGCATTAATAGTTCTTTATTATCACTTGATTATGATTACTAATGTTTTCAAATCTTCACTTTATCCATGAATTTAGCCTTTATCTGAAGCTGATGTATACTTTTCAAATGATATTAAATCACATTTAAAAGTCCTAACACAGCACTTTTATTTTTATCAATATATCTATTCCATATTTCTAATAGAAAACAAATCCAAAGAGGAAATATGGTTTAACCAAGGTCATAGAGCCAATCAATGATAAAGCTTCTATTAGAATCTAGATCTACTGACTCAGTATCAAATTCCAAAATCATAGTCATATGGGCATTTTGTTCCTCTCTTAGTCTCCTTCCAAACCACATGCACGAAAAAGTAAAATACAATTCCCCTTCAATTTAAAAGTGAAAGCTGGGTATAGTGGCACACGCCTGTACTCCCAGTACTCTGGAAGGCTGAGGCAGGAGAATCACAAGTTTGAGTCCAGTCTAGGCAATTTACAATTTAGTGACTCTAACATAAGGCTCAATCCCCAATCATCCCCCTCCCCCTTTCTGGCCAAGGTTAAGTACTACTATGCCAAAATGCACCTGAGGACTGTCAATTAGCCAGTCTATTTGTGATCCCACAAAAATCAATAAATAAAACTGAGAGAAGCAAACATTACAGGAGCCATGGAACCATAGTTTCATTACATAATAAGGTGGTTACTTTTTTTTCTAGAGTAAAAAATTACTAAGAATTCATTAGTTTCATAAAAACCAGACCTGACCTAATGACAGCAATTTCATGTTTAAAAAAAGTAAATAACCTTTCCCAATTCCACATTCCTGTCGTGCTTGCTTTCAAATACAAAAATAAGGCTTCTAAACAGTCTTGAATAGAATGGGTAGCTGCAGATCATTTGAACACCTCTGATTTCAGAGGTGTTCAGACTCATTTATATCAGAATAGTTGTCCTCCTTTCTACCTGGCAGTCATGAGAAACAAATAAGATTATATAGCTAAGAATGCCTCAAGACTTATACAACTGCAAAGCTGACTTATTGAATTGTTTCAATTGTAAAAGTAAGTTCTAATTTATACTAAACTAGTCACAGATTTAGACCAAGCTTACAGACTTTATTAGGCTCAGACCTGGAATACCATTCACACTTCCCCAAGTTTTAACAAACTAAGCCAAACAAATGACTTAGCCAACTAATAAAATAAATATCACAAGTTAATTTTTACAACACTTATTAGAAAAAAGGAGAAACAATTACATTACCTGATCCAGACCCTGACGTTGTCATATCATAAATTAAATCTTTTAAGGTAGTACCCTCTGAAATAAAAGGGCGATCTAATGAAGGATCTTCTTCATTTGGCACTCGATGGTGAATAACAGTTCGGTTATGGCAGATATAGACCATCAACATGAGTGAGATGCAAACAAAGCAGACTGGTCCAGCAATGACGGCTGCCAGCTCCACGGGACCAAGGCCAGGTGACTGCTTTTCTGAAAAAGGGCCTCAAGTGAAATAAACATCAACAACAGCAAAACACTGTAGGTGGCATCCACTTTATCTTTACTCCATACCTCCTGCAATTACCCACTGTCAACCCTTAGCCATGCAGCTTCATCAGAGGAGATCATAAGACTCAAACCCAGCACAAACCCATCATTCACTCTTCTCTCACTGGCCCTCCCTGTGGTGATATTCAGCTCTGTCTGCACCCTCTTACTCTCTCCGTGGTCCCTAGCAATCATCCAACTCACTAAATCAGCTATCACTAACATCCCAAGGACATTCCCATGTGTAACTTCAGGTTACCAGTAAAGCAATCAGTAATCTGGAATAATTTCCACTAGTGTCTTTTAAAAATCATTATTTTTTTTTCCTAAGTACTTTTTGGCTTGTCTCCTTATTCCAAGGCCAGTACATGCTTATAGCAGGGGAGAAAAATGTGTAAGTACAAATAAACAAAGTTTTTTAAACTTTATGTTGCTTCAGCATTGTCTAACAACCTACATTTCAGTACATGTGTCACCATTATTTTAAAGGCAATACACATTTGTTTTTAAATTAGAATTTTCTCTTTATATTCTTTTTAGATTATTTTAACCATCTGAATTTTTAATTCCAGATCACTTATTTTTTCATAATTTTTCAATAATTAACATTTTGCATTTTTGTTAGAATCACATTAATTACAATTATTTTGACATTCACTCTGATCCCTACTAGTTCACTGTTCACCACTATTTTTTTCATTATCAATCTTTCCCATTCTTGAGATCTTCATTTGGATTAATTTTTTATCATAAAGAATTCTATTTCTAGTCACTTTTCCAGGAAAAGTGCTACAGATCCTTATACACTGAATATTTAATTAGCTAAAGATAATTATGACCGTAACCCTTGTATATGAAAATTCTCAGCCTAGTTCAATATGCAATGTCCATTCTGCCCTCTGACACTTAAAAAAAAAGCAGAAAATCAGCCAGCGTTGTAGAGCATAGCTATAACCCAGAACTCTGTGAGGCTGAGGCAGAAGAATTTCAAGTTCAAGCACAGCCCAAGTAACTTAGTGACTTAGCAAAACCCTGTCTCAAAAATGGAAAATAAAAACAAGGGTTGGGAATGTAGCTCAGTATGAAGGCCCTGGGTTCAATCTTCCAATAGCACACACACACACACACACACACACACACACACACACAAGCATTTAGTATACATAAATACTGGTTACTTATAAAAGGAAAAAATGTTCATATTTTCTGCCTTTGTGTGTGTGTGTATGTGTGTGTTTTATTCCTGAACATGGTAGTTTTAAAAATGCATATTTGGATTTTTTTCATTAGTCGTGCCCAACAATCTTCTCTCCTGTCCTTGTGTTGTTTCATAGAATTTTTATTTATATATATATAGGATCATTGAGCTCTATCCTCCCTCTTAATTTGCTCACCAACTCCCCTGTTTTCTTGAATTGTAAGACAATTTTTAAAGCTTGACTATAGAATTACAGCATCTAGTCTGCTGTTGCACTCTCATTGCTGTATTTTTAAAAACACTCCTCAGGGCTAGGGATGTAGCTCAGTGGCACCTGCCTGGCAAGCCCAAGGTCCTGAGTTCGATCCCCAGTACCGGGGGAAAAAATTTTCTCAACCAAACTTTTCCCTCAAAGCAATCATTAACTGTGAAATGTTCTCATTTCATTTTGAACAACTGAAAACAGACATTGAACTGTCTAAAAATTCTTCCCTAGCAAGCAGTAAGCCTATTTCATAGGATAATACCTACTCTAACTTATCCAGTTTAGTCTACTACTTTTAAACTACTGGATCTTTTTAATTGGAAAGTTTTTGCTGTTTGTTTAGCCTGGAGTTGAAAATGAGTTTATGTCTGTTTAGCATTAAAAATGAGGTGACTTCCTCATAGGGTTTTATAAATCTCTATCTAGGTTATTTCAAGTTGAAACAATGAAAATGGGAAAATCAGGAATCCTTTGCCATATTAGATCTACAGATAACTACACAAATGACACAAAGAAATTACAGGCTGACACTCCTACCACAGAAGCTTCACTACCTTGCTGAAACTAGGCAGAGGGCTACCTCCCTTCTGGAACTCTGAGCTACAGCAGTGCTTCCTACTTGATCAGCATGAGACCAGCTCTACTCGGAAAGTGAGTGATGAGGTCTGCCCTTTAGGGCAAGTGCTTCTTAAGGAGAACAGAGGATTTGCTCTCTACCCTAACCTCAAGCCCAGTTACTCAGTTTAAGGTACTGGCAGGATTTTGTAAGTGGTCCTTTCACTCAAGTCTTTCTTGTATCATTAGCCTATTCTTTGCTAGTCTGGTGCCGATTATATATAAAAATGCAGAAGTTCCTCACACGTACTGGCAGGTGGGTAGCATTCTTCCATTAATTCTTCTAGGATTAATATAGGTCTCCCCCATTTTTATACTCCTTTGATTATTACTGTAGAAATTTAGGATTCAAGGGACAATAATAAAATAGGTAAATCTTAAACCAGAACTCTAAAATTAATCCATTCCTAAAATGAAGCTGGGCACAGTGGCGCATGCCACTCAGGAGGCTGAGGCAGGAGGATCACCGTTTCAGGCCAGCCTGGACTACATAGTTAAGTTCAAGGTCACCCTGAACCACATGGCACCCTGTCTCAAAAAAAACCATAGATAGACAAGATAGATAGATAGATAGACAGACAGACAGATAAATGTCTTCAAGTTGCTGGCTCTACCAACACATTTTAAAATATAAAGCATGAGTGATGCCAAAAATCTAAAAATCATGTGTAATTCACTTATCAATAAAGATCATAAAATAAGGTAAAATTACAAAATGAAAACATCTAGACTATAGTGCTGGCTGCTGGTGGCTTTAAAAATAAGGCCATTATACAAGGAAGAAATTTACTCTGAGGACAAAGTAGGGAAATCATGAGATATACCTACTGCTGCTATCAATTCATGAGAATTTGCTTTTAAGAGACTATCCTTTTAGGCCTAACAAATCTCACTGAAAGTCTATCTAGGAACTACCTTCTTGAAACACTTATCAGGATCTTGGCTACTTTTATAATTCCACAACTATCCACAAGTCACTTCCTGTCTCTATCTTGAATAAGTTGGGCTACACAATTTCTACAACCCTTCCCAGTTCTAAAGTTGTAGTCAATCTAAGAACTCTTCTGTAATAGCGGGGTGGGGGGTGGGGGGGAGGGTGGCGGCAATGGATAAAAAGTTATACAACTTACCAGTAGTTGGGAGTTCTATTTTATTGCAATGATCCTGATTGCAACAATATGTTGTAGTCACAGCCCCAGTTTTTGAAGAGGGTGCACATACAAATGGTCTATCTCGAGGAATTAGATCGATTTCAGCTATACACATGGTATTGTGTATAACTCTGTCTGTGGTCTCTGTGACAGAGACAAAGCAGAGCCCATCTGTCACACAGGTATAATTGTCTTTTGTACAGAGCTGGCAGAAACACTGTAATGCTGGAAAAAAGAGCACAAGATTCTATAGAAAAAATATCAAGTTTAACAGTCTGAAACTACCTAATATTTACTCTATTAATATGTGCTTAATCCTGTTATCACATAATTTCTGTGCACTGTTCAAAAAACAAAACTCTAAATTCTGTTGAAAGCCACATATAGATAGAAGCTCAAGGAAATATAGATAAATTTGGACCCGGGCTTTTTCCTAAAATTTTTTTACTTCCAAGTACAGAAAAAATGTGTTACATGAAATTTCATGGAGATATGACAAACGTGTACTCTCTCACTTGAAACTTTTCAAAATTTTTAATGGTTATACTGTTCTTAGCCTAAAACTATGTATTTACAAAATCCACAACTGGGAAGCAATATATGATAATACTACCACCTACTCACTGTAGGTTGGGAATGCCATTTCAGTGGATTTATGGTAATGGGGTAATGGAAAAGATTCATATTGTTCCAGATAGTCTCTCTTCACTTTTGTGTAAATCCTGAGAAAGACATTTTTCCAGCTAAGATGAGGATAGTCTCTCAGTGACATCAAGAAGACCAACCACACCAGTAACAATTCATATATGATCCAACCCCACTTTATCTTTATGGCTCAACTCCAGGAGTGACCTCTTTAGGGAGTCACTGTGTTCCAATATATACACATACCTACACACACCTGGGAAAGGAAGAGGAATCTAAGAGTTGTGTGCAAATTTTAAAAAATATTTTCATTTCAAAGATAATCCAAAAACAATGATAAACATTCTGGGTCATGAATAATCACCATCTAAATAAGCACTGTCACTGAGCTTTTACTGCTGCTTCTACAGTTATGTGAAGACCTCATTCAGGTCAAATGCCCTTGTCACACACTTTATAGAAAGACCAAGTTTCACAGTAATTGTGAGAGGAAAAAAATATAAGGAATTTGAATCATAGAAGTATACAGCAATATAGGCATGGTATATTCAAAAGCCAAAAACCAAACAGCCAAGATCACATATGCACTATAATATATGTAAGTCTAACATGAATCCTACCTTTGTGGCACAATTTGAAAAATTAGTAGCAAATATGAATTTCTTAAGTATGCATTTTTCCATTCTCGCTTCCAGCAATAATTGGTTTAGAAAACCATTTAATAAAGATTTCAATAGTAGAATAATGTTAATCCTATCTTCCAGTGAACAAAACAGCTGACATCTCATTAAAACTCCTACTTGAGGAATTCTTGCTGGCAAGCATTTTGGTTAGGTATGAAGTCTCATTAACATGAACTTTCCAACAAATCCCTGAAGTCATTAAGACTATCTTGTACATTACTGATGAACAGGCACTTGCAGCTTTTACTATCACTTAAGTTAAAATACTAAAATATTTCAAACAGAATCATACCTAAAGCTATTTTTTTCTATCATAAAACCTAAACATCATCTGTCACACTGAATAATTGTATCAACTTGAATTTTGGTTTTTGCAGTTGCCTTTGTATTTAATTTGTAGATTTGGGTTACAGTAGTAAGCAAGGCAGAAACATAAGGGTTTTATATATCTATCCATTTATTTAGTTTCTGTCTATACAATATGAGTAACATCATGAAAAATACACTCTGTACTTCTCAAAGAAGTCATTACATTATGGCAAACTTGAAAGAGTGCTAAAGGACTTCTCTAATCTACCCTTTCAATAAGGGTAGTCACTAGACAAATATAAACATCATATAACACAAAGCTTACCTGGACAAGGTTTTATCTCAAAAGAATTAAAAATTCTATTTTGCACTCTAAATCAGTCTTCATTGAATATAAGGTTGCTGTTTTGTAATACAGTAAAATACATTAGAAAAAAATAAAAAATTTAAAGATTCCAATGAACACATGAGCTTTAATTCCCATTTCTAAAAATTCAAATTTATTTTATTAATCAACAAACAAATCTGGCCCTGGCTACCTCTCTCCCCTTTTATTAAGCTAGGTTTTTGTTTTAATTTTTAAATACATGCACAGGATAAAAATTCCATCTAAAAAAAGGTATACAATAACCTCTCCTTCCCAGAGCCCAAGTTCCACTCCCTACTCCAAAATACCAGGCCACTAACTTGATTCTTTCATTTAATTCTGCAATTATTCATTAAACATTTCCGTATGTGAAGTATAATGTGGCCTATGGGAGTAGAAGGATAAGTAACAAAGGTATTTTCACTTAAGCGGCTCACTAAAGTGGTTCAGTAAGAGGCATTAAACATAATTAAAACCCAAAGTCCCACGGAGAATAATCAAAGTACTGTACTTTAACTCTGCTGAGGTAAAAGAGACATCAAGAAAAGCTTCACAAGGCATTTAACTCAGAACTTGGAGAATATGTACAGTTTGCTAGATAGATGCAGATGAGAAAATTATCATGAATGGGTTGGTTCCCCCTCACTCAGTGGAAAGATTTCACCCTTTGTGGTTGGAATTCCAAGTAAGATCATCAAATTTAAGTAATTATTCAAGATCCTAAGGGTTTTCATCAGCAAACAACATAATACCTTTTCAAATTACATCATCTTTTTGAAATACTCACCAAATGTGTCCATTACTACATTTTTAAACTAATACAAATGATATAGCAGGGCATGGTGGCACACACCTGTAATCTTAGCACTCTGGAGGCTGAGGCAGAAGGATCACCGTGAGTTTGAGGGCAGCCTGGGCTACATAGTGAGTTCAAGACCAGCGTGAACTGCATAGAGAGACCCTATCTCAAAAAACAAAGGGGGGAGGGCACAGGACCCTCAGGTTTATCATCACCATATTACAGTACCAAGATGATAAATTCCAAATTGAGATCCTGTCTAATGGTCCCAACTATAAGGATCACCGTGGTTACTTCATTTCACTGTGTCTGCAAGCCACATAAAAGCACGATTACTTTTTCCATTGCCAAGGCTACCAAGGGTTGATTCATGAGCCTATCTGTCCATTTAGAGAGGTGAAGAGGTGGACAGCCTGTATTTAGTATAGGAACAGACATTTCTATCTTCTTTTTTCTATCTTCTATCTTCTTTCTATTCATCTTTGTTGAAGAAATTAAAATTGGCATTAAAAAAAGCCTTGTTTTCCCAGGCCTAGAGTCAACGTACCTATGCAACTTAAACTTCTTTTTATGCAAACACTTTAATACTCTTTCCCAACCCTTGCCATTTGGCCTACCTTCCCCAATCCACAACATCTCTCTGCAATTCACTAGGGATGCCTTTCTGATTGAATTAAATGTTCTTTTTCAAATGTTTTAGGACGTAAAGCAGTGACAGACTTCTTTATTAGTTGACATGACATTACACTTCCTTGACTTACAACCCACTAAGCCTTTTGCTAAATGTGCATCTCTAAACTCCTGGCCTTTCACTTCTGATTTTATATTGTGACTGTCTCCAGGAAACACTGCTAGGTTTACCTTATTAGTGCAAAGCTAACATACTCAAAATCAAATACAATATTAAGAATAATGCTGTGATTTTAAAAAGGACCCTTGAAGGACTCCTAGGCTCCTTGCGAAGACAAGCTCCTTGCTAAGACAAAGATATTTTTACTTAGGCAGTTCACTAAAGTAGTTCAGCAAGAGGCATTAAATATAATTAAAACCCAAGGTCCCAAGGAGACAGTTAAAAAAGAAGAAAAAGATGAAGAAGATTTCTTTCTTCAAAGAATGAGCTCCAATCTTTTCCCCAGTAATTTTGTAGGCAGTGCAAAGGTTGCAGGTTTGTTCCCTAACTCTGCACACTATTGCACAATTATACTTTGCAGTGAGAGCATTTCCAAATGTTACAAATATGCTCCAACAGGCAGGTAAAGGCCCTAACATGCCCTTTATTCAGCCCACTTAGCTACTGTTTAAAAGCAGGTTACACCACTGTTGTCAAGGGTGAAAGCAAAAATTAGAAGTTATAAGAAATCCTTTCAAGTACTAATGTCAACCCTTTCTATCATCAAATTTATTCCTCTTCTCCATTTCTCAATTCCCAAAGCCACGTTCCTCTTCTCAAAAAGATCTGTCTTTTCTCATCTTCTACCTACAAAGAAAAGCGTACCGTGTAAATGCTCCTCTGTTAATATGTGGCCCATCTCTGTAAATAAGGCTAAAACCCTGACCACCTACTTCCTCCAGCCTACAACTTCAGTTTTGTTCCTCAAGGCACTGGGTGGTTCTTCTCAACTCATCTCTTTAGGGTTAACCTGCAGTATTAATGTATTAATGTCAAATTAGGCATGGTGGCAAATTATAGAATTTCAGCACTGTGGCAGGAGGATTACAAGTTTCTGTCCTCAGCCTGGGCAATTTAACAAGATATCTCAAAAAAAAAATTTTTTTTACATGTAAACGGGCTAGGGATATAGTTCCCCATGAAGGCCATGGGTGCAATCCTCACTATTACAAAAAAACAAAACAAAACACACACAAAGTACTATATAAAGTAATTTTTCCTCTACATAATATTTCACCCCCAAATTTAGGGATTCAGAATAAAAATCTAATTTTCCCAGATAAATTCCATTTAATTCTGCCTCTTTGAAAGAATTTAAGAAGAATCATTTATAATTTAACACATATCTCATCTTAGAAGTACGGAGGCACTTCTGAATTCCTAATCATTTGTTATTCCATAATACCTTCATGTTCCAGTCTCCGAGGCTCCCAGAATTAGCTAATACAATGTTAACCGATAGCAGAGAAAGGTATACTAAGAATAGGCTGCCCAGTGGGAAGATGAGACTTAATACACAGGCTAATACAATGGCTTTCATTTAAGTTCAAAATAAACTGCACAAGAACTAGATAAAAGATCTGCTTAGCAGATTTGGGAAATTTGTTTAACAACAAATTTTAAATTAATCAACAGTATTTACTATTAACTGTATCCATGGTGGTAGAGAACACAGAGGGAGAACTGTGTACATAATTCCCAAATGTCCAATGTAATAAGCATTCAGTATCACCTGAATATAAATTTGCACAT